GTCTCCACTAATTGAGTAAGTTGGACACCACGGCAGATGACCTGAATTTCACTGCCTTTAACACGGTCATTTTTCTGAGCTAAGGGCTTGTCATTAGCAGTCTGAACCTGATCTTTAATGACCTCCCAGAGTCCTGTGGGTGAGGAGACTTTGTCATCACAGGTCCTCAAGGTCCTCAATGGAATCTGTGCTATGAGCTTGTGTCTGCCCTTGCCACCGCGTGGAGCCAGAGGCAGTAAGAACCCCTCCCAGCACCTTGCACAGAGCTATGCAAGGAGCTCATACACAGCAGGAGCTGGAGCACTGGGGCACCATGGTGTGTTCAGGGCTTTCTCAGGTGACTGCAGCTCTCCCTGCTCCTTAGACACTCCTCTTGACACTGCAGCCTCTCCAGGGGGGTGCGCCAAATTGCTCTTTTCTTCCCCAGATCAGAGGGCAAGCGTGTTGGTAGGAACTCTGTGGCGACAGGCAGCCTCTGGCAGTCGCTGCCTCCTGAAATCTGTTTCTTATCCCAGCACTGCACTGACCCCATTACATCTGCTCTCTTTGCTCCTGGCCTCTAGGCTGTTTACTGCACTGTATAACACGTTTTGGAGATGTACACAGCAGACAGTTCATATTCTGCCCTGAATCAACCCCCCAGTCACCCTCCCTGATGCCTAGGATCTCCTGGAGTGTGCTTGGACACATGCCTACCATCCATGTCCTTGAAACCTTACACGGAGCTGGCACCCTCTCAGAGCTGCAGCTCCCTGCATCCCTTCCTCTATGCTCTGTGCTCGGTGCGTGCAGCTATCCATCATCCTCACTGCACGAATCGAGGTCTGGCTGCTTCTCGCAGCAGCCAAGTCCCTGCAGCCTGGCCTCAGGGCTGTCTCTGCAGCAGGGCTGGATACAGTGCCAACATGAACCATTTCCGAGGGCTGCACTACCCCCGGCTGCCTGCTAGGAGGGATCTTGCTTCGTCTTGAAGGCTTTTTGCTTCGGGACTGGAAGAATTTCTACGTGCTGATGCACAAATCTCAGCGGTTTTTGTTTGTTTGTTTGTTTGTTTGGGCTTTTTTTTGCTCAGGCACCTACAGCCTTCTTGACAGAATAAGAAAAATGGTGAGGGGAGACTGAGGTGCTGTACTTCAAAGGCATACAGACCTGAGACTGTGCAGCTGTTTCCTTGCACAGATTCCCCAGCTGCACGGGCATAGACTTGAATTTCTCTGGTTATGGGCTGATGCATGCATACCTGGAGGTGCCTATCAAGCAAATATGTGCTTGCTTTGCTGTTCAGCTCCAGGGCTTTGCACATACCATTGGGATTGTTTGTATGCAATTAAGAAAGAACATAAAAAATGTGGCTGTGTGCTGTGCATGCGTAAGACTCTGACATCAGTGAGTGCTTATAATAATTCATATCATGGTCTGTAATAACTCACTTTTCATGCCTCCTGTAATCCAGCTCCAAAGGCAAGCTGTCTCTAGCACTGTATCTAACCTGCACACACGCTGCCTTCTGATTCCCACAGCCTTTGGTTTGTTTTGCAGCAAGAGCACATCTGCATCCATGGGCCAAACGTGAATCCACCTGCCAAAATACCCTGCAATAGCTTGGGGCGAGGCCCCAGCAGACAGGTAAACAACTTGACCCAGCGAGGATTTAAAAATAAATTATGCATCCAAGCACCTGTTTGGATTAGAGCCCAAGCACTATCAATACAATACGTGCTTCATGAAGTGGGGGTTGCCATTCTACAGAAGGGAGTGAACCTCATGCTCTCTCATGGTCTCTGTTACAGGAAGCTCAAAGTGGTTCCAGAAGCACGTTTCTCCTAATGACCAAGGCTGACAAGAACAGCAGGTCAGACGTAGCTGTGATACAAATCCTGCCTTGGTTCTCTGGCTGATGGAAGTCACCAGATGAAAACACCAGGACATTTATCCAGCCTATCCTGGACTAGAAGAGAAGAAGCACCTCCAGTGTCCTTCATTTCTGCCAAGTCAAGATTCAGACCAAACTATAAGCTTTTGGACCGAAGTGGCTTGCTCTTAAACCTAAGAATCACAGAATCATTAAGTTGGAAAGGATCTCTGAGCTCCCCTAACCCAACTGTCAACCCACCCCCACTATGCCCACTGACCATGTCCCTCAGTGCCACATCTCCACAGCTTCCGAACATCCCCAGGGATGCTGACTGCACCACCTCCCTGGGCAGCCTGTGCCACTGCCTCACCACTCTTTCTGATAAGAAATTTTTCCTGATATCCAACCTGAACCTCCCCTGGCACAGCTATTGCCTCCTGTCCTAAAAGAAGTCAGCAACAGAGCAGGTTTGGGGACCCAACTCTCAAGGCATCCCATCAGTATCCTGATAATCCTCCTGCCCTCTCATTTTTTAACAGTCCTGGTTGCTAGATTAACTCACTGTTTCCAGCTGCCAATCAGCTGTGGGTTGTCTTGACATTCCTCTTACTTCTCATCTGATGACTGCCTCAGTATTACATTTGTATCTGGTACACACATTCCTGAGGAGGTAGGCATACAGGGTGTGAGACAGAGCCCTTACAACTTATATCCTGATCTATTACCAAAAAAAAGCATGTGACAACCTTGAGTCACTCATCAGAGCACAGAGAGAATTTTTATAGCAATTTTCCTCCTGCTTTGTCTATCTCCATGTGGGTGTGCATTCACACATAAAAAAGCATATGGCACTGTGCTGTTGGTACCTGGCCATCTCTGTGTCAGCCAACGTAATCCTTAGGGCCTTACTGCAGAGCAGGTGTTGTGAAGACCTTTCTTCGCCATTTGACTTAGCCCAACACGAGGAACGTGAGTGACAGACAAGAAATCTCTTCTCCACTTTCTCCTCTTGCATCAATCTGGACTGCAGCCTTGCTGCCCAGCGAAGGCATGATCCTTCTAGGCCAGAAAGAGCACCAGTGCCCTGTCCCACCACCAATAGTCTTGCTCTAGCCTTCATCCCACCTGCCTCTGCAGCCCCATAAAGGCTTCAGCGTTGAGTGAGCAATGGGCACTACATCCATTACATCCACTACATCCACTACATCCACTACATCCACTACATCCTGCTCATCAAAACCTTGGGTGGGGGATTATGGTAAGCAGGAGGGAGACAATCTCTGTCCTCTTTCCCTCCATAATGCCACCTGCTGTAGCACAGTTTCCTCTGTGGTGGCCATACTGGGACCTTTCCTTAGCTGACTCCTTCACTGTGGTACAAAAGCACATCTTGTTTAGGAAGCCTTTCACTTTCATAAAATCATAAAATGGGAGGACACTCAAAGCTCACTTCATTCCAACCTTCTGCCATGGGCTGGTTGCTCCCCACCAGCTCAGGCTGCCCAGGGCCCATCCAATCTGGCCTTGAGTACCTCCAGTGATGGGGACCCACCACCTCTGTGGGCAGCAGTGCCAGTGGCTCACCACCCTCCGAGTTAAAAATTCTTTTTAACATCTAACTTAATTTTTCCCTCTTTTAGCTTAAGGCCATTCCCCCTTGTTCTGGCACTATCAGACCATGTAAAAAGTTGGTTCCCTTCCTGCTTGTAAACTCCTTTCAAGTACTGGAAGGCCACAAGGAGATCTTCCTGCAACCTTCTCTTCTCCAAGCTAAAATTTGTGATGCTTCTTTTGCCTGGAGCCCCACATCCTGACCACCAGTCAAGCATGGCTGTACACGGAGCATCCCTTTGAATGTGCATCATCATGTCAGCTGGGAGGCTTTGTAGTTGAAAAAGAAGGAAGCAGGCAAACAAACAGCTCAGAAAACAGCAGCCAAAGGAGTAGAGAAGGAAGCAAAAGAGTCCAGGGGATTATATTTTTTCTGAGCACCTGATCCAGCTGTAGGTGTCCCTGTTCACTGCAGGGGAGTTGGACTGGATGGCCTTTAAGGGTCCCTTCCAACCCAAACAATTGTATGATTTTTCCTGCTTAGCACTAATGGCAGCAACTCCATAGAAGAAAAGTCCTCAAAGCTCTCAGCAATTTGATGCTGTCACCATCTGGCATCACCCCAGAACGGAGCCACTGCCTCCCATGGGCTACACAAGGTGGGAGGCCACAGCAACTTGAGGCAGAGCCAGCCGATGGCTTCTGGGGCTGAGCAGATTTCTGAGGCAGGAAGCACAGAGCGTGGGGAGCAGGGTGAGCGTGAGGCGGTCGAAGCAAGAGGGCTGGAAAAGAAGGGAAGCCGCTGCTGGAAAGCCTCCAGGCCTGCCCGAGCAGGTGGGTGAGCCAAACCGAGGCTCAGCAGGCGGCACGTCTGCCTCAGGTGCTGCAAGTGTCACAGCAGCCGACCCCCCCGCGCCAGTTGTGTCCCCGCGCAGTGCGGGGAAAGAAACTCCAGGCTCTGCCCGGCACGCAAAGGCAAAAGGGCAGCTGGGGCAGGGAGGGCTCTCCTCTCCCCCACGCCGCCCTCGCACCCAGCTCTCCCGACGAGCTCTTATCCATTCACTTTCAAGCACAGAAAAATCTAAGCTCGGCATCTGCCGGGGGGTTCACGAGCATCCGTGGGGCTCCGTGGCTGGGAGCAGCCCCGCCGCGGGGGAAGCGGACCTACCTGCGGCTCCAGCAGCCAGCTCTCGTCCGCCTCGCTTCGGGCTGCCCCCGTGTACTTGAATGCGGAATAAAGAGGGATTTTGTCCTTGGTGCTGTAGAGGGTTGCAAAGCGCGGCTCCCCGTTGTACTGCTGACAGATCTTCACGTGGAAAGGCTCAGTGAATCCTTCCGGTGGGACTCGGCCGGGGAAGAACACGTTACACTCGGCAAAGCCGGCTTCGTCCTTGCCGACGACTCTGCCCAGGGAAAAGCTCGGGAAAAGCGACAAGCAGAGCAGACACAGCGCTGACATCTTCACGGTCCGCTCCCCCGGGCCGGCCATCCGGGCTGGGTACGGCGCAGGTCTGGCGGTGCGGAGAGAGGCGAAGGCCGGCGGGCGGCGGTCCCTGCGGGCGGCGGGCGCTGCTGCCGGCGGCGGCCACGGGCGGTGCCGCGCTCACGCCCGCTGGAACGCCGGGCAAGCCGAAATCATCGCGGCTGACTGGGAGGAGGAGGAGGAGGAGGGAAGCCCTCGGCTGTGCCGTATGTAGCAGCGGGGTGTGGTGTCTGCATTGCAGCACAGTCCCCGGGAGGAATTTTGGCTGACGCAGCCAGAACTGTTCCTGGGGCTGCCGGGGGGGATGCCGCAAAGTCAGGTTCGGAGCCCAGAAGAAAGGGTGAGCTGCTGTGCGAAGCAACCAGCCTGGCCGAGGGACAGCGAAGAAGGGAGAGAAGGAGGAGGCAGCGGGGTGTCAGCGAGGCTGGGAACACGCTCTGTGGGGAGAGTAGCTCCGTGCCATGCTTGGCCAAACGTAGAGCTGGCAAAAAAAAAAAGATAATGCAAGGACTGAAGCCACTCCTCGAGTTTATGATCGGCTGTTACCTGCCTGTGAGCCTACAGCAGCTACTGCTGGGTTAAAGAATGACTGTGCTAACTGGGAAAGTTAATGTTTTCACAGCAGTGGAGTGGAGAGACTACGGAGTATCTCAAGATCAAGAAAACCTGCCTTTCCCCACCCTAGAAAGTGCGTACGACCGGATATACTGCCAATAACTCACTCCCGCAACTTAAAAAAGCCAAGGTGCCATAAAGGACACTGTCACACAAAGCTGTCGCATTGCTACAGCGACTTCCAAGCAGGAGTCCCCAAGTGCCACCAATTCTCAGCTGCTCTGCAAGAGGCTACATGACACACAGCCTGTATTGCGAGCCGTGCCATGGGACGGATGTCAGGGAAGGAGCCTGTAAAAGTGCTACAAATAGCCCGGGCTCTGAGACTCACTTCTGCACTCAGGGATGGATTCCTGAAGCAGCATAGCAAAGAAATACGTCAGTGCCTTTTCATGTGATGTTATCAGCTCGGGGAGACAGAGACAGGCTGGACAGGCTGGGGAACGGCAGGAAGTGCAGCCAGTAGCTTGTTTGGTTTCCAGGCAGTGGCCTGGTCACTCAGCCCTGGCAGAAAGAATTAGTCATGTGCAGAAAGATGATGGGAATGGAAACACGTGCGTGGCTCAGCCAGAGCACAGCAGCTCCAAAAGACAGGCTCAACATTTCATTCCCCTGGGTGTAAAAAAGGCTACTGAGAAATTGAATGCTGAAGCTAACTTGAGCTGTTTGGTGTTCATCAGATCCCAGGCTTGCAATTATCTGGGCAACAGAAGGAAATATTTTCCCCATGTTCTGAGCCATGTTCTACAGGGAAAGCAAGGCAATGCAGCACTTCTAAGCATCCCACTCTGACTGATCTGCATTATACCAAGCTGAGCATGGTCCCAACCCAGTGTGAAAGCAGGTTGAGATGCCTCATGATGGGCACAACAACCAGCAGCATGCTGAGCAGAGGGATCCTTCTGCCAGGAAACGGGGATGTCCTGCCTCCAAGGGCACCTCAGCCTCAGTGTGATGCATCAGCATTCTTTCCAGTCTCAAGGGCCTCTTACATGCTTTTGGGGAACTGCCTTTCCGGGCTGTGAGGCTGCTCTATGCCTGCCTATTTTTTGCTGCATGTACCAGCATGTAAGTAGCACTAGGGATTCTGAAGAGTGTTCAAGGCCAGATTGGATGGGGCCCTGGGCAGCCTGGTCTAGTATTAGATATGGAGGTTGGCAGCCCTGTGTGTGACTGGGGGGCTGGAGCTTGATGATCCTTGAGGTCCCTTCCATTCCAGGCCATTCTACGATTCTATGATTCTGTGATTCCATTATTCTATGATTCCATGATTCTATGAAGAGTGCTCAGGATCTCCTGTTCCATGCTGACTACCAATATGGGCACCAGCATGGATCAAGGGATGATGATACTGCCATAAACCTGGTGAGGCTGGCACTGAAGGCAAGCAGTTGTGCTTGATGTGATGGAGAAGAGGGAGCCCATGGAAGGTAAAAGAGACATACTCATAGTACCATAGAATCATTTGAGTTGGAAGGGACCCTTAAAGGCCATCTCCCCTGCAATGAACAGGGACACCTACAGCTAGATCAGGTGCTCAGAGCCCCATCCATCCTGACATTAAGTATCTCCAGGGATGGGCATCCACCACATTTCTGGGCAGTCAAAGGGACAAGAGAAAGGTGATGTATCAGCAGCAGGTAAAGGTGCATGGGAGGAGAGGCTGCACAGCACAGATTGCATGCATGCTGAATTTGCAAGGCATACCAGAGAGAAAGTGGGGAGAAGTGATTTGTGACAAATTTTGGAGAAAGGACAAGAAAAGAGACTCTAGAAAATGATGTTGACCTGGAGGAAGAGAAGGAGATTGAGCAAAAATTAGTTGATGAGATACTAAGGAAAGCTTAAGAAGGGAAATGGATAGAAATAGATGTGAAGAAACCCAGAGGGGAGAATGGGAGGGGTTAAATGAACAGATGGGAGAGAGCTGAGGAAAGCTGTTTTCTGTGAAAAGAAAATGAGGAGAACAACATGAAGATGGGGAGACAGAAAGGAGGCTTTCATCCATCTTCATTGACCTCCTCTTCCTGAGAGTCTCAAGCACAAAGACCAAACAATCCTGAAAAACATGGCAGTATTCAGCCCTGTAACAACAGGAGGCCACTGGCTTGTCTGCCCACTTTCCCACACTATGCCTCCAGCCCGGTCTCTCTGTTCACATGGTTGACACTGAGTTTGCTGCAAATAACTCCTTTCTCCTCACATGCCTGACCCTGCTAGCCTAGGCTTCCCAAACATACTTGACTCCAAGTATTTCTCCAGGGCAGATCTCTTGTCTCCAGCTATGAGCTCTGGGTGGGCTGCCAGACTGCATGTGACTGTCCCATTCTATTGGGAACAAAAAGGAAGAAGAAAGTGATTCAGTGGAGACACCACTGTCAAAGATTTGGCTCAGAGCACGGCAGTCCCAGCAGACACGCCACTGCATGTCAGAGAGCACATCTGCCTCTTCCTTGTCTCATGGGGATGGAGTTTCTTGCTAAAATTAACTCAAAAGCGTGGTCTGGGAAAGGAGCCCAGTGCTGAGCTAGGGAGAAAAGAAAATCTGAAACAGTTTCTGTGTTAAAACGAAGAGATCCAAGGATGGGAGGAAGAGGGGTAGAAAGAAGATGATCATCTATTTGGGGAAGCAAGGCACTGTTGCAATTTTGATTCCCAACTTAAACCAGGTCTTTGTGCCACTCTCTGCTGCCTGCTTGTTAGATGCTCACACAGACAACTTCACACCTTCCCCATGGCATCCCTCACGCTGGTCAGCATCACCAACAGTGCTGCTTCACTGCCCTCCTCTTGCCATGATTCTCACAGCACAGGGAGCACCAGCAAGAGTAATGGCCTTAAGCTGCACCAAAGGAGGTGCAGGTTGGAGATCAGGAAATATTTCTTCTCAAAAGAGTGGGAGGCAGTGGCACAGGCTGCCCACGGAGGTGGTGCAGTCAAGAACCATGGAGCTATGACAGAGGAACATGGGCAGTGGGCATGGTGGGGGTGGGCTGATGGCTGGACTAGGTGATCTTAAAGGTCTTTTCCAACCTTCCATGATTCTATGAAAGACCACCAGACATCTCAAGGTCAGGGTGTCAGGGATGCAGACTTGCACGTATAACAAATAAAAGCGATAAAATCCTGAGTCCATATCCTTCAGCACTTCATCGTTAGTCTTCAGACTCAAGAAATCTCTATTAATTGAAGGAACTAGAAAATAAGACAAGAGGAGTGACTGAGAAATTTGGGATTGTTTAGTTTGGAGAAAAGTAGGCCAACCTCCTTACTTGCTCCTTCCAATTGCATGGAAGGAGGCTGCAGTAAGGTGGGTATTGGTCTCTTTTTTCAGTTGAGAAGTGACAGTGATGCAAGGAAATAGCCTCAAGTAGCAGCAAAGAAGGTTTAGAGTGGATATTGGGAAGAATTTATTCACAAATAGGGTGGTCAAACATTGGAATGGGCTGCCCGTGCTGGAGTCGCCATCCCTGGAGGTATTTGAGAGCTATGTAGATGTGATGCTAAATGATGTGGTTTTGTGGTGGGACTCAGTAGGTCACGTTGATGGCTGGACTTGGTGATCTTGAAGGTCTTTTCCAACCTGGATAATTCTATGGATCTGGACAAACTCCAGGCTGTTAGAGACTAGCACAACAAATCTCCAGTGTTTGACAGCCCAAGTCCTAGAGGAGAGAAGGCTGTGGGGTGACCTCACTGCAGACTTTCAGTACCTAAAGGCAGCCTATAAGCAGGAGGGGAATCAACAAGGTAGATAATAGCAAGACTAGGGGAAATGGTTTTAAGTTGAGGGAGGGAAGACTTAGGTTGGATGTCAGGGGGAGGTTCTTTACTATGAGAGTGGTGAGGTGCTGGAACAGCTGCCCAGAGAGGTTGTGGATGCCCTGACCCTGGAGGTGTTCAAGGCCAGGTTGGATGGGGCCCTGGGCAGCCTGGTCTAGTATTAAATGGGGAGGTTGGCAGCCCTACTTGCAGCAGTGGGGTTGGAGTTTGATGATCCTTGAGGTCCTTTCCAACCCAAGCCATTCTACGATTCTATGATAAGTTGGATAGATTTAGATTTTGAAAGTACATGGCAACATTTTTAATAGTGTGAATTTTAACTACAGAAATGAGTTATTTAAAGATGTGCCGAAAGCTCAACAATACAATTTTTTAAACCAAGATTAAAAGAGATGATACTTTGTGTGACAGTCAGTTTGCACAGCCACAGCAGTTCTTTCACATCTTAAATTTGTTTGGGACAAGAAAGTCACTCGAATGCTGTTCTTCTAGGTGCTACTACTTACTTTTCCTCATTGCCAGCATTCGATCTTTTCACAAGCGCGGTGTGGCTCAGCCAGTGCTGAGGCTGTGCTGTGTGGAAGCCAGGTGTGAGACGGCTCCTTACAGGCTGCACTGGCAGAAAACCCACGGGTGGGACCACAATGAGAGGCACAGGCTTGTTGCACTTGCATCATCTCTGAAGAGGGAATGAGAAAGCCATGATCTTTCAGAAAGCTAAACCTGCTGGGGGGGCCCAGCTGTAATCAGGAGGCAGACAGCAGCCGCACCCAGGGCTGATTGTCTCCAGCAATATTTGGCACTGAGGAGTGGGAGGAGGAGCGAGGAAGCTTTTCTCCATGTCTCGTTGCTGCAGTGCACCTCGAGGCTGCTGCAGGCATATGTTAGCATCACATTTTCCACACTGTACTTCTGGCTGTGCTACTCTTGGGCAGCACTGCCTTGGGATGGATTCAGACACGAAGAGCAGAACCACCATTCCTGGGATCCTGTCACTGCCCTGAGCACAGGCGGAGCTTCAGCCATCTGTGTGTGCACGGCAGCATGTGTGCAGTGGGGATCTTCCTCTAGAAAACAAAGGCAGCAATGCTTCTGGACACAATAACTGACCACAGTGAGGAAGGAAATTCTAGTCTTAAATTAGTGCTTTAAATAAATGAGTGGCTGTTTGAGAACACAGGTTAAAATAGAAATGCAAAACTCCAGGTCTCTGGAGAGCAAACCTGGCAGAGCTGTGGTTTTAATTTATCTTAAAAGAAGAAAAGGATTTTGCAGCCTCTGTTCTGGGATCTGCTACAGAACTGTTACTGATTATTTACACTGCCTGTTTTGACTTTCTTTGGAGGTGTATTAACATGTTTGTGGCTGTGTACACTTGTCATGCTTTGCAAAGGGCATGAAAACTTTGCTTGTCCTCATCTTGTGCAGCCATGAATCCTTTCCTTAATGCAGGCAGTCGGTGCAAGCCTGTTCCTACTCTCTTAACTTCAGCATCAGCAGCCAGGAGGCCAAGGTTTTAGTCCTTCCTCCTTCAGTAGACAAGCAGGGGTTGGGGCCAACCCTCCTTCTCCACTCTAGTGTTCCAGTCACGGTCGTGCTGCTCTGAGCAATTTCTTGTGCTATTGGGCTGTGCATGAAGCCTCCTGTTCATATCATTAAAGTACTTAAATTCTCTATTAAATGTGCAGTAAGGACATACTCATGGCTCAGCAGGGACCACTGCAGTCCCATTAAGCATCAGCCTCTGTACCATGACATGATGCTCTCCAGGTCCTCTGTGCAGCACCCCGGAGGACAGAAGCCCTGTGTGCACACCTGATCCTCTGCACCCAGCAGTGCAGTACCACTGCATGGGACATCACTGAGCCATCCTCGAGCACAGCAGGACAGAGTTGCTAAGTGCATGCTAATGCGGTAATGAGTGAGAGCAGTAAGATCAAGGTGCTTCGTGTGAGCTTTTGCATGTGAGCTGCAGCACAGAAGTGAGATGCGCTGCTTGTACTGTGCTCATTTCAGGCAGTGGGCCAGGGAGAGCAGGAAAGGGAGGGGAATGCTAAGCTCAGTTTCAGTTGCTACTACTCAGCAGCGGTGACACAGAAGCAGGCAGCATCTCGCCAAGGAGAGGCAAACGTGCAGAATGCCTGCACAACGCCCTGCTGGGGCACCTCCAGCTCCCACAGCACTGTGCTCAGCTCTGGCTGGGGCAGCTGGCCACTGCAAACCCTGAGCCAACCATCCATACAAGGCTCAGTGTCAAGTCTAGCTCAGATGTTGCGGTTCTTATGGTAAAAATACAAATGGAAGCACCCTCATGAGCACATCCCTGCAGCACTATGCTCAGGCCTGGAGCCCCCAGCACAGGAAGGATGTGGAGCTGTTGGATCGGGTCCAGAGGGCCATGAAGATGCTCAGAGGGCTGGAGTACAGAAGACAGGCTGAGGGAGCTGGGCTTGTTCAGCACAGAGAAGAGACACCAAGGAGACCTCATTGTGGTGTGACAGTACCTAAAGGAACCTGCAGGCAAGATGGGGAGGGACCCATCATCAGGGAGTACAGGGATAGAACAATGTGAAATGGCTTTAAATCAAATGGGGTAGATTTGGGTTATACATTAGAAAGATTTTTTTTTGCAGTGGTGGTGGTTATATGCTGGCACAGGCTGCCCAGAGAAGCTGTGGGTGAGCCATCCCTGGCAGTGCTCAGGGCCAGGCAGGATGGAGCTGTGGTCAGCCTGGTCCAGTGGAAGGGGTCCTTGCTCATGGCAGGAGGGCTGGGACTGGATGATCACTACGGTCCCTTTCAATCCAAACCATTTTAGAATTTGGTGATTCAGTGATTCTGTTATTCTATAAAAGCTCTCTGGGCTTCGTAACACAGGAAATCAAACCACACCCTGCTGTTTTATGGGATATTGTACCTACAGGTCTCAGAGAAAAAGCCTTTGGTGCTTTATCCACCTTTTTATAAAGAAGGAACAGCGCAGGACCTGGGGAGCGGGGGTTAACTTTTGCAAGGTTCCCAAGCTAGTTGCTGTGCTGGGAGGAAATACAAGTTTCTTTTTCTTCTGCTTATTGCAGGCCTCCATAAGCAAAGGCTCCCCAGAGGTCTCAGACCTGAAATAATGTGAATTGGAACAAAGAAAAAAGGAAGAATCAACCTGGCATCTCTTCACTTCTACATCAAGAGCGCGTTGTTTTCCAAGCTGTTGTTCTTTGTTTTCACTTGACTCCGAGTGAACTGATTTCTGCCCACACCCAAAAGGAACAATGCGGGCGTTTGAGACTGCTCCTGACTCTGCATTGCCTCCAGACTGAACAAACACGTTGCAGAGTGCAGGGTCAGTAGCTAAAGGTGGGCTGTTGCAGGTTAAGAGGGATTGCTGTTGGTTGACAGCAGTTGGGATCCTCTTAGTTATTAAATTGTCATAAATTAATATGGCATTTTGGAGGACGTGGGAACTGATCCTATGGCTTACCTTGTTTTCAGTGAGCTTGAGGGCTGCACTACTGAAATGCTGCTGGAAAAGAAACTCAGCCAGGTTTTAAATGGGTCAGGATGATGCATGGCTGTTTGCTCTTCTTATAAACTCTTCCTTGCATTCCTGGTTCAGAGACTCACTATAAACTAGGAGAGTCCATGCTTTCATGCTGGCTGCTCGGTTCCTTGCAGCCCCATTTACAAAAAATACTTAGCTGCACCTTGAATCTTCCAGTAACAGAAATTTTAAATCCAGAAGAGTCTCATCCAACTGAACTTGTCTGGTCTGGAGAAGAGGAGGCTCCGTGCAGCTCCCTGAGCAGGGGAGGCAGACAGAGGTGCTGGACTCTGCTGCTGGGAACTGGTGGCAGGACAGGAATGGCACAGAGCTGAGCCAGGGGAGGCTCAGATTGGACATTAGGAAACATTTTGTACCATAAGGATGGTCAAACACTGGGACAGGTGGCTGATGCCCCATGCATCCCTTCTCCATTCTGCCTAATAAGCTGCTTGTGGGGTGTTTCACTGGTATTCTTTGTTCCATATCTACACAAACAGTGAAAAAACCCCAAGAGAGTCCACAGCAGTGTGTGGGCAGCAGGCCCTTGCCTCCTGGATGGGCGATACAATGCTCGTTTGGGTGTCTGGGCATCCAGATACTGAAAGTCCTCCCAGACAAGCAGGGACTGAGTCATTGTCAGCCAGCTGAGAAAAGGATAAAATTAGCTTAGTCCTTAGCAGAGCTGTTTGGCTAGTAATTCACAGTGAGGTATTTTTGCCTAACGCTGGATGCAGCTATCGAGAGAGGTATCGCCCAGCAGCTCATCTGCATATAAACATCACAGGGCTAAAATTAATTGCTTTGTCCGAGCTCAAAGAAATTATTTGATTCTGCAGAAACAAGAATTCCTCCACAGGAACGAGCGTGTGCCCAAGATAGAGAGCAGCAGAGCTGTGTGCTCTTCAGTGCCACCCATGCCCCCAGCACCCTCCTCCCTCCCTTGCTGAGTGCCTTTGGGCTGACATCACCTTGTGGGTGGGGAATTGCTCCAGCACAGCCCCATGGGCAGCAGCTCCCCCAGCCCTCCTGCCCCACTGTGGGCTCTTCTCCATGGGCTGCAGCTCTAGCCTGCACTGCTCCTGCAGGGGTATCCATGCGCTGTGCCTCCTCAAGGCCTCATCCACTGCTGCACAGTGGGCTCCTTTATGGCTGCACATGGAGACGTGCTTCATGTGGTGCCTGTGGGCTGCAGGGGGATGGTATGCTCCTCTGTGGGCCTCTCCTGAAAGCTTAGGAAGGGCCTAGCTCATGTTCTTGCCTGTGCCTTTTCTTGCAGGGAATTCTTGCTGACTCCTGGATTTTTCTCTGTTGAGAATCATTATAAAGTCTCTTCCTCATTGCAAAGCCATTGTCAGATCACGCTTACTTCAAGAAGCAAAGACAGATAGTAGTACAGGGGCTGTGACTGAGCACAGAGGCAAACAGCCAAAGAATCAGTGGGGTGGGAGGCAGATGGGAGGAGTCTGAGAGCTGGGATGATTCTGTAAGCACACAGAATAGCAGCAGCACAAGGGTTTCATAGCAGTACAAGAGTTTTATGGCCCCACAGCAGCACAGAGGGCATGATGGTGAGCAAGCCCTTGGAGATGCCTTCATCGGAAAACAGCGCCATGCTGCCTCACCAGCTGAATCACAGCCCAGCCAGACCTCTGTTCTTTTCCCAATCAAGGAAACAGAGACTTCCCACCAACTTCTTTTAAGGCTGCTGTTTGGATGCTGAGCATTCCTGCGCTGGGCTGCCACTGCTGACAGTTCCCTGCAACATCACCAGGGCAGTGGGAGGCTCAGTCCTTGAAAGAACACATGTCCCAAGGAAGGAAATGTGCTGTGGCCATGCAAGCCACGTCCTGAATGGCAAGACACAGGTTCTTACAGGAAGGGTGGCAAGGGGAAAATTCCAGCTCAGACATTTCCATTTGGGCACAAATCTCTGCTCAGGTCGAGGACATGCTGGTGTACTGCTCACAGTCCCACAGGGCTTTAAAAGCACAGATCACATGCAGTGTTGCTGTACCTGAGGGTGGGCAGAAGGTGATCTCAGAGCCTACAGTGCAAGAGCCAAGGATTCAGAGAAGGAAGTTCCCTTGTTTAAGTTTCCACCCTGAAAAAAAAAAGAAAAAAAAAAACAAACAGTGGAAAGCAACAATTAAATCTACAAGTAATGTTAAAAATGGAAGAAATGAGGAAGAGATGGCAAAAAGTACACATAAGAAACTTTAAAGAACAAAAATTTGACACAGGAAAGAGGGGGATAAATCCCTGCTTTGGCAAGACAAAGAGGGGCTTTTTGAAGTCCATTAGAAACGCAAGAAATCTTCATAATGTCAAAGGCCAAGAAGCAGATGAGAAAAATATTAATAAGTCTCCAAACAGGCACAAGGTTTATGCAAATGTTTTTGTTCTCTTTTAGGAAGTGATGCATTCTGCAGTTCTTTGGTAATCTCACAGAAGGACCAACATTTAAGATCCATACATATTTGCAAAAGTCCCAGCATCCTGGAGCACTGAGATAACCAGAGAATATTGGTCTCTTGGTATGAACCTTTAAAATGTCTCCGGATACAGGAAAGCTGCAGAGAACAGAAGCCCACAGATTCTGGGGAGCTGCTGTTCTTCAGCAGGACTTTGAGTTTGGTCATAAAGAGGCCCTGTAAATGTAACAAATGGAGAATTCATGACATGTTTGATTGGTGGTGTCATTATGATTGCAAAACAGGCACTTTGCTGTAGGAGCTGCACCCCTTGGTGTGTGTGTGTCAGCGCCCAGAGGAAGTAACGTGGTGGTCTCTGTATTCTGCATTTGCACTGGTGATCTACAAATGAATACAACATTGCAGTAAAAACATTAACAGGTACCATCAAGAATTTGGGAGGGTGACTAAGAGACCATGGCAGTGATACCACAAGGGTGTTTTTTTTTTCAAGCCAGATGCATTTAACACAAGTAAAGACGTCAATTCATCTAGGATCAAAGACTACATGACTTTTTTTAACCAGGAAAGCAACAGCCCTGGAAAGAATTTAAGAATCAGCAAGACTTGCATCTACATTGGAGTGCCCAGAGCAGTGGTGTGGGGAAGAAAGCCAGTGTGATTCTTGGGTATATAAACAGCTGCATAGAAAGCTGGGGGGGAAAGGATCTTAGATCTTCAGCTCACCTCATTGGGGCTGATGTTGAAAGAGTTCTCATACTTCTGATGATGATAAGTTAGAAGGAGAGGAAGAAAGAGCAAATAACTGGTGGGAAGAAGGAAAGGACTAGAAGTGGCCAGTCTGCTTACCTCATGCAAAGGTAGTTACAGGACTAGCTTACAAAGTGTAAATACCTGGTGGGAAAATGGGCTTTTCACATTGTGCACAGCAGATACCCAAGGCTGAGAAGAAAGACAAATGATCTGAAATTAAAAGTAAACAAACAGCCATTTTGAACTGTGAGGATAATTAATCACTTCAGGAAATCGTTAAGGGAAGCAGTGAATTTTCCTGCTTTTCATGTTACCCGTGCAATTCAGAATCTCTCCCTAAGAGTTGCCACAGCCAAATTGCTCAGCAGAGGAATAGCCAAGGGTGTGTCTGTGGGGAAATAATTGGTGCAAAGAGGTACAAGGCTCAGGAAGACAGCAGTCTTTGGTCATGATCTGGTCTGATCAGAGCAAGCACAGGAAGGTAAAAGACCTGGGATTTTGTCATTGCTTTTTTTTTTTTTTTTTTTTTTAAACCTTATCTGATGGTTCACGACCATGAAAACAGGGCCTGGAATGCAGAAATTCCCACTTACAGACAAGTGGCTATACCACTGAATTTTATTGGTGTTGCCTTCTCCATACATGCTCTCATGAATGAATCTTTCATTCTTTCCAAGAGAAGCTATGAGAGAGCTCTCCCAAGGCTCCATCCCTCTCTCTGTGCAGTGAAGCCCCAAGGCAGGGCCGTGCTGCCCAACAATTCAGGCAGGCCCATGTTCCTCATCCCAGGAGACCACGAGAAGGCAGAGGAGCTGCCAAGGGAGGACCTTCACCAGTGCAGAAAAAGAAGAAAGCCATGCCAGGTTGCTCAGGACCTGCTCTGGGGGTCCCTGCTTGAGCAGGAGTTGGACCAGATGGGCCCAAATGTCCCTGTAAACCACAGCCATTCTATGAGTCTGTAAACATACAAAGTTTGGGCCACTCTTGAACATGTTTGGGGTTAGTTCAGATCTAAGAAGCTTAGCATCCTGCTCACGCTGAAGCCCAACAGAAATGAGATATATTCCCCAGTTCAGTGAGCAGGAAGCTTTCATTAATGATTTAATGATTATCAATAAAGAAATTAATTAATTATTAGAGACCTTTAAGATCAAAAGTTGTGGACCTGTGAAGGTTCAGTTCCACTGTAGCAAGACTGAGGTGGGATTTTTATGTAGTCCAGACTCAGGCACCTCAAATCCTCCAGAATCTCTTCTTCAGCACATCTTCTAAGGAAGACTTTGACCACAGAATGTGCCCATAGCTGTTTTTACCTCACATCTATACTCACAAACTGGGAGGAAACACCTCAGGGTTGCAGGGAACAATTCTGGCCAAAGACACCACAGCTTTCCTTTATTCAAAGATCAGAGCAGTCAAATTAGTGTAAGAGCTACTTCTGGTTTAAGGCTCAAAGGTAGATATTAATACATATACAATTAACACCCACCATCAGAGGTGAATGCGCTGATTCAGCTTGGAAAGCTGGGCTCTATCAGAGGAGGGGTGGCCGGCAGGGACAGGGAGGTGATTGTCCCTCTCTACTCTGCCCTTGTGAGGCCTCATCTGCAGTACTGGGTCCAGCTCTGGGGCCCCCAGTACAAGAAAGACAGGGAGCTTTTGGAGAGGGTCCAGAGGAGGGCTATAAAGATGATCAGAGGACTGGAGCACCTCCCCTATGAAGACAGGCTGAGGGAGTTGGGCTTGTTCAGCCTGGAGAAAAGAAGGCTGCAGGGTGACCTCATTGAAGCCTTTCAGTACCTAAAGGGAGCCTAAAATAGGAGGGGAGACAACTCTTTGAAAGGGTAGATGACAGGAGGACAAGGGGAAATGGTTTTAAGTTGAGGGAGGGAAGATTTAGGTTGGATGTCAGGGGGAAGTTCTTTACTAAAACAGTGGTGAGGTGCTGGAACAGCTGCCCAGAGAGGCTGTGGATGCCCCATCCCTCGAGGTGCTCAAGGCCAGGTTGGATGGGGCCCTAGGCAGCTTGGACTAGTATTAAATGGGGAGGTTGGTAGCCCTGCTTGTGGCTGGGGAGTTAGAGATTCATGATCCTTGAGTTCCCTTCAATCCTGGTCATTCTGTGATCCTGTGATTTCAGGTTGCTGTGATTCATAGTCTGCAGCCTGACACTGATGAATTCCTCACAGGAATTCAAGGAGGTGACACTATTTCTCTGTACAGCAGGGCCCACTTCTTCCAAGGGCTTTCTCCGAAGGCTCCAAAGGGTGTGCTCTGCCATTAGGTGCTGTGGCTCCTTGTGTAGTAGCATCTTTGGAGACCTCTCATGGGCTCTTTTCAAAGTCGCATGCTGTGTGAGGGGCTGCCCAGGAAGAAGTTTCCTTTGGAGATGTATCAAAGTTTGACATTGCACGAATCACCAAAGTCTGATAAGCTGAAAGCAACAGCAAACACAAGAGAGAGACTGCATTTCAACTCTGGGTGATGTGCTCCCACACGATGGCTTTTTTACAGACAGCAATGAACATACCCCAAGTTAAGGGCATCAGCTGTGGGGAGCTGCTAGCTGGGAGACAGGCCCAGGTGACGCTGCTGACACAAGGACTGGAGGGCCCTGCGCCTCCCTCCAGCTTGTGGCCTGGACTCGTTCCTACCCCTCAGTTCTCAGATTCATTTGTGACAGGGGCCCTGACAGCGGCTTGTCTACACGGGGGAGGCGGCTGGAGCTCTAGAAAGGGTGAGAAAGGCGCGAGGGGATCGGCCAGGCACAGCCTAGATGGCCAAAGCTTGAGGACAGCGGGGCAAGGAGCAGCTCGCACCGCAAGCCCAGGCCGCGCGGCAGGGGAGGCGGAAGAAAGCCGCCATCGCTACTCAGGCAGCAACAGCGCGTACTTCCGCCTCGGTAGCGAACATGGCGGACGCGCTTCCGCAGAGACGTAAGAAGTCCTTCCGGTCTCCATCTCTATGGTAGGTTCTCCTTCCGCCGCTCTGCTCTATGGCCGCCGCGCAGGGCCTTGTGGGTAGTGGGCGGGATGATGGCGGTGGCGTAGGGCCTGGCTGCTCAGCGAGAGGAGATCCTGAGGTCAGAGGCGGGGGTTGAGGGACCGAATCGGGGGTTCTGGGCGTGGGGAGGCGGTGGGCGGCCCGGTGGGACCGGAAGGGAGGCTGAGGCGGTGGGGTGGCCTGGCTGGGCCGGGCGTGTGCCGATGGACGCGGCTTGGCCGGCCCGGCGTTGTGCGGCACTGCAGGGGCTGCTCCAGTGCTGCGCCGCCGGAACCTCAACGGAGCGAACGGGCCCGAGTGGCGTCAGGAGGAGTGCGGGTCCCTTACGGCCCAGATGAATGGATGAGCCCAGAAAGATGCTGCAGGGGCAGTTTCCGTGGGATTTGGTAATTCTCCATGGGTGTACGCAGTCGGGCCGGGGCTTGAACTCGGAGATCCCTTCCGTTACCTATAAATAACACAGATAAGTCCTGGGGTCACGTCTTTCTCTGGTCGTGGCTCTGCACCAAAGCCAACAAAGCCTGCCGAGCTCCGGTTCACCTGCACAGAGTCACTACAAGTGTCTGCAGTTCAGGACAGTGAGTGCGGGCTCGTGCTGGCTGTCTCCATGGAATCATAGAATGGATTGGAAGGGGCCTCAGAGCCCACCCACATCCAACTCCTGCCATGGGTTGATTGCCCCTCACCAGCTGAGGCTGCCCAGTGCCCATCTAGCCTGGCCTTGAGCAGTTCCAAAGATGGGACATCACAGCTCTCTGGGCAGCTGTGCCAGGGCCTCATCACCTTCTGAATGTCTCTTGGTTTTAAGTCCTTAGGCTGTGCTTATGGATGTGTGTGTGCTGGTGAGGCAGAAATGTGTGTAGTTTCATTTAACAGACTGAAGGTGGCACTGATGGATCACCCAGGATTTTTGTTTGTCTGGTTGGTCTTATTGTTTTGGTTTTTTGGTGGGTTGTTTTTGCCTTGATGGAATGCCCTAAACTTTTGGCTCTATGGTTTGGGCCTGCAGGGCCTCTAGCTGCTGTCTGCAGTGCTGAACACAGTGTGTGCTGACAGCTGTTGTGTAGCTGAAACTGAGCCCCTTTCAGTCCTCTGCCATACCTGCAGTTCTTGGCATCAGTTATTTCATTATTAGATCCTGTTGGTGCTGCATGAGTTTCTGTATTTTCTGTAAGAGAGTTGGTGAACTTCTGTGTTTGTCTGAGGAAGGTGTTTTGTTAATTGCACTTAATTCACATAAGCACTTCAGAAGGTTTGCTGGCCAGCTGGAGCTCTGCTGCATTACCAGTGTTGATGCTGTGCCTGTAATGGAGAAATGAACCAGGCCAGGACAAGGACTGAAGTTTAGAATGTGTGACCATTGTCACTGTTCAGTTATCAGCACCAGCACGATACAGTCCACGTTGGCTGGCATTTGTGGTGATAATGCTAAGAAATGCATAATTGAGAGATCATTTCCAATAGGCTCTCATTTTTGGCTGTGTTTTTTCCAGAGGGGAAAGAGTTATACTTCTACCAAGACTTAAGGATACGAGACTGGCTCCTGGTGTTTTATCCACTTTTATAAACAGGACCTCACATTCTTATTGTACTCTCTACCATCTTTCAGACATGTTGGAAAAGACTTCATTTTTAGAACATCTGAGTAGAAGCTGCCAATTAAAAAAGCTCCTTAAGCTTTAAGGCTCGTGTGCCAAATGATAGTTTGTATTGTGTAGTGGAATTTGCTGTTGCTGCAACAGTTCCAGGAGCATCGTAGCTTCTGGTGAATGTCTTTAAGTTACAGTAATGACTGTTTTTTGCCCTTGACTCTGTAGTTACTAAAATGACGACAGCGGCAAGGCCAACATTTGAGCCTGCAAGAGGAGGAAGAGGAAAAGGTGAAGGAGACTTAAGTCAGCTGTCCAAGCAGTATTCCAGCAGAGACCTTCCCTCTCATACTAAAATCAAATATAGGTAAGTATTGTTATTGTCTGCTTGCAGCAAAGCAGGCTGGGGATGTTTCACTGATCTCTTTCTTTTTGATGTCACCAACACTCTGAATTTTTTTTCACCTTAGATATTCATTTGCTTGACATTCAGCAGACACAGATATTGTGCAGCGGTGCTGAAACTGCACATCTCAAAAGCAGACTTAGGAAACTGAATGGCTTGCAACTGATTTGGAAGGTTTAATTTTAGTGGTGTGGATAACTGCCTGTGGAAGTGAATCATGAGGAGGTGATGTGTAGAGATAAAGCATTTCAGGTAGTGGAGTGAAAAGGGTTGGGAGCATACCGAGATAGCTGAGCTGATAAGGTGCTGTTACTTGCTGAACAAGATGGGATAAGAGGTATTAAGTTGAAAATGACATGGTTTTCCATCTTTTAAGACATATGTTGGCAAAGAACTGCTGGAAAAGAGCACTAAGAAGAGGCAGGGCAACATGAAACAGCACTTGGACATTAGTAGGTGTTGGAAGAGCTGATGTTAAACACTGGAAGAGGTTCTAGAAGAGTCATTTGATTCAATTGGTGTGAAAAATAATGGGATTTTGTATGATTATTATCCTGTGTTTGGAATGCTTAATAATTTGTTTATATTCTTTTAAGATAGCATGAAATCTGTAGTCAATGTGCCACTTGGATTTAACTGAATTGTATCAGCCTAAAAATAGTGTGGTTTTTTTTTCTAGCTTAAACTATTGCTTGGGTTTTACTTTCTTAATGCAGATGTTCACCCTTTCACTGCTTCCCTCCTGCCCATTTGAATAACTTTGAAGGTGACATGGATATGGGAGTTGGAATGTTTGGAGAATACCAAAAGCAGGAGCACAAAACGTGCTGTTAAGGGAAAAATGGCTGGTGGTTTGTCTCTTTAAATAGAGCAGGAGTGTGGAACACCAGTCTTGTTCTGAAAGGAGTGTGTGGGGAGAAATACATACAGGAATATGCAGTGTGTGTGGTAACAGATCCCTGTGAGTCTGTGTGTGTGTGAGGGGGCATTAAGTGTCTTAAGTTCATTCTGGTAAACATGTGATACAAAGTTGTCTTTGCTAATTTGCCAGGACTGCATCACTGCAGGAAAGATTTGGTATTTCAGTCCCACTCTCCCATGCCTCATTGGCACAGGGCCTGGGGGGATTTTTGCAGCCATGTCAGGGATTCTGAATTCAAGTTTTTAATTATAAAAGCAAATGAAATGCTTCAGCATAAAGGCAGCTTGTGCACACTGTGTATTTATAATGACTGGAGCCTGGGTTTCTTCCAGGCACTCTTATTTCCAAACCTGAGTTCACAGTAAGGTGAAAGGAATTGCTGCTTGTTTTTATTCATCAGTTCTTCTCAAGTCTTCCAGAGAAGTTCAGCATGTTCTACGTGGAACTTAGTGTGACTTGAATATAAGTAGTCTGTTGATTTTTGCCTGTGTGTATTATATAAAAGAGGGGAAAAGATGCATTTGCAGTGTATTTCACTAAAGCTAGTGTTGTGCTCATTCCCTTCATATTCCCTCTGTATTTCCTTTTTTTTTTTTTCTTTTTTTCTTTTTTTCTCCTGCAGTGGTACATTGTCTCTTCTGTTTTATGGGGAGAAAAGATTAGAGAACAGCAAGCTCTAATTTTGGTCTTGCAAGCCTGGGAGATTTGTTTGCAACAGCAGTGTGAGATGACAAAATGGCAAAGAGTAAACCAGAGTGTTGGTAGGTGTCAGGTTGGGCACTGAATTTGTGCTGCAGAGAACGGATGTAGAACCACCTGCAAAGATCTACTCAGCATGGCTTTGCAAAAATGTGTGCAGATCTTTAAAATTCATTTGAGAGCCTCTGGAAGGAGTGTGTGTGTGTTTGGTGCTCTTGTGTGTGTACAGACAGAGAAAGAAGCGTGTGTGCACATGGTACCCAGCTATGTGCAGAGAGTAGAAACGTTCACCACTGGATTTATTGGCCTCATTTGATAAATTGCTCTTAGTTCCTGATTGTCGTCTTCAGCCTTTTCCCCTCGTTGCTGTTTCAGACAGGCCACTCAGGATGCTCCCGAAGAGGTGCGTAACCGTGACTTTAGAAGGGAGCTAGAGGAGAGAGAGCGGGTTGCTGCGAGGGAAAAGAACAGAGACAGACCAACCAGAGGTAAAGCCCAACCCCTAACAACCAGATCTCAGTACCTTCACGTGACGCTGCTCTCACACAAAGTTCCATGTTGTAAGTTTCTGAGTTGGACACTGTTAGGAGAGCACAGTGTGGGATATTGGCCTGACTTTTTCGAGCTGTGGACCTGCAAGGGAGTGCTCACTGGCTTCGTGCTAGCAAAAATCCTAGGCCAGCCAGCAGGGAAGCATCAAGCAGGCCAGCTGATACAGAATGGCTGTAATGAATTGACAGCAAGTATGTACAGTTAACAGAGAGCTTTTTTTTTGTGCTTGGACAAACAAGACAGGAAGGAAAAGGGGAATGACTCATCTTCAACTGTTAGAGCAGCAGAGAAGTAATAAATTGCTTTTTAAAGTATCTGATTCAGTTCATGTGCTGTGAAGTGAGAATTAAAACAAAAACCAAAGTTGTTTGTTATTTGTTTGAGAAATATTCATTTTTTTAATACAAAGCTTGACCAAATTTAGGTACTTCAGTACCTAAATTCTGAAGTGTTCAGAATCACAGAATCACAGAATGGCCTGGGTTGAAAAGGACCACAATGATCATCCAGTTTCAACCCCCTGCTATGTGCAGGATTGCTAACCACCAGACCAGGCTGCCCAGAGCCACATCCAGCCTGGCGTTGAATGCCTCCAGGGATGGGGCATCCACAGCCTCCTTGGGCAACCTGTTCCAGTGTGTCACCACCCTCTGTGTGGAAAAACTTCCTCCTAATATCTAACCTAAACCTCCCTGTCACAGTCTACAACCATTCCCCCTTGCCCATTCACTGTCCACCCTCACAAACAGCCGTTCCCCCTCCTGTTCATACACTCCGTTCAAATACTGGAAGGCCACACTGAGGTCTCCCTGCAGCCTTCTCTTCTCCAAGCTAAACAAGCCCAGTTCCAGGCTAAAAGATAAGGTTGGGGATGTTACTGCTTTGTTTGGGGATGCCTGCATGGGAGGAATTGGCATAGGTGTCAGTGCTGAGGGGTGAGGAGAAACTAAGCATAAGCTCGTATTTCTTACTCTAATGCAAGACAACTTATTAATGATTTTTTTTTTATCAATTTCTGACTTCAGATGCTGTTAAATTAATTAATTAAAACAGCACAAAGCCATTTTCACTTATTTTAATCTTATAGAACATACAACATCATCTTCTGTGTCTAAGAAGCCTCGGCTGGACCAGATTCCTGCAGCAAACCTCGATGCAGATGACCCTCTAACTGATGTATGCATTCTTCTCTGTTGTCTTCCTTTCATTGTCCTGTTTTGGGGTTTTGCCACTGATAGAACATGAGCTTCTAGATATTGAAGAATATATATATAAATTAAGAGTTGTAACTGAGAACTGGTTTGGGGGTGCTCTACATCCAGTTCCTCTATTCTGATGGAAGTCCATAGTAGTTTTACACTGCAATCAATGGTCTTTTTAGAAGGGGGGAAGGATGCTGTGGCTACTAGCATACAAGAACTGGGGAATTGAAGGTACTGCTTAAATTATTGGTGTTTTTTTAGCCTCAGTCTAAGTACTGGGTCAGTCAGAATTCCCCAAAGGTAAAGCAGTTGAGATACACTGATTGTCTGCATGAATAAGGAGTTCTTGGCTCCTTTCCTTGTGTTGATCTGTTGGAGTTGTTCAGGTACTGACAGCATGCTGATGTTTGTTTTGTTTCTAACAGTGCTATATTTGGTCCCAGCAATACTGGATGAGGTATTTAGGCATACAATTATAATGACTTGTGTTTCAGTGATTCAGAGTGCCAGCTCTCTGGGATCTGTCAGGAACATGGCGTTTGAATGATTAAAAGATAAGAGCTGCAGTCATCTAAAAACACAAACGCTTATATTTTTCTCTTTATGGTGTAAGAGCAAACGAACCATCTGTATTATATTTGCTGCTCCTACGAGCACTGGTCCCAGCTTCAGAAGTCAGCCTTAGCTCAATGCACCTGAACTGTCTGGGGAACTTCTCATAGTTCTTTTTTCTCAAACAAGAGGGACATCTCTGCAGTCAGTGTTCAGAATGAAAAGCTGTGTCTATGAATTTCGTGTAATAAACTGTTTCTTCTCTGCTTTTGTTGCTGATAGGAGGATGATGAGGATGATGACCTGGAAGACAGTGATGATGATGACACTGCAGCTCTTCTGGCTGAACTGGAAAAAATAAAGAAGGAGCGAGCTGAGGAGCAGGCTCGGAAGGTAACATCTCACTCATTCCCATTAAGGAGCATCTGGTTGTTTTTGCAAATGTGCTTAGTAAAACTGTTGTGCCTTAAATTCTGAGCACAGGTGAGAGCTGGTAAAGTGAGTGCCAAGCTCAGAGCTGGCACAGTACCTCAAAACAAGCTTCTCGGGTCAATCTGATGGCTTTGTTCTTATGTCTAATGATATATCAGAAATTCTTTCTTTAGCAGACATGTTTATGGGGGAGTGTTTTGCTAAAATGTTTTATTTACTTTCCAAATGCTTTGTAGAGGCATTAGGGTTAAGTTAATCTTGCTTTTGATGTGCAAGTCTTTCTCTGAAGACAGGTGTCATATCAAACTGCAATTGTACTGGTGACCTACCCATGGCATCATCCAGTGGAACATTTCCTTTGTTAATCAGCTTTTTTGAAGCAAGAAATGAGATTTTTATAAAAGAATTAAAAATACCAGCATGTTCTTTGATGCTTTTGATCTTCTTATATTACTACTGTGTTGCCTTGGCAAGGAATGCCAATTGAAACTATAAAACTGGAACTGTTTTGATATGATTATACACAGGTGACTGTATTTTGAAAATATATCCACAAAAATGAAATGAATTAATTTCCATAGCATAATAGACAGCCTTGTAGTTTAACTGCTGGTGTGGTTTTTCAGGAATGCTCTCCACTAGAGACAACTGGCAGTAAACTGGGCATGGTGTACAGCAGGAAGTAGGAACAATTAGGAAAGAATAGTGTTTGAGCTGCTGTAGGCACAAGTGGCCACTCTTGAACCTAGGGAGTTCTAGGCCAGGTTGGATGGGCCCTGGGCAGCTGGTCTGGTATTAAATGTGGAGGTTGGTGGCCCTGCCTGTGGCAGGGGGGTTGGAGCTTCATGGTCCTTGAGGTCCCTTCCAACTCTGTGATCCTGTGTAAGGAAGTCTGCAGTGGTAAAACACTTCAGAAGGTTAAAATGTGTACCGTGCTCCTTCAGTATAGAAGCTTTCCTGTAGAAGTCTTTTGATTCTTGAAAGTAAATCACATTGTGCAGAAACAAGCACCTTTCTCCATTGGCCTGTAAAAATCGGGAGTGTTACACCTACAAAACTCTGAACTTGTCACTAGAGGGTGCTAAAAGCTCTGAATTCTTTAGTTTGGCACTCGTTCTGTTTTGCTGTGGTTTGACTGGTGTTGCTGTTTGCTTTCCTGGCTGTTCCCCACCCACCAGAGGTAGGGCTTGTTACAGCGCCCAGGGCTACATGCAAACTCCATACACACAATGGCTCCCCTATTTCATCTGCAAAGTGACCATTAGCCATTTGTAGTAGTGCATATTATTGCTCTGGTCGTTTTTTCATTGAGTGACAGTTAATTAAAATTAACCTTAAAAATTACCTCATGAGAGATGACGTCTTGTTGAATAGTGGGCACTGTGCTGTAGTTGGAGTTGTATTTTCCTGGGGTTCTTTGGATTGTAGAGAACAGTGATGAAAAGCAAAGACCAAAGCAGAGTGCAGCACTGGAGTCTTCAGTAGTAAGGCTCTCCTGAGAGAAGGTCTGATATTTATGCTGGCTTTAAGGGTGTGATCTCTAGATTATGCTGTTACCCCCGTCCTTAGCATAAGGCATTACTGACAAAAAGCTTTGTGACCAATTTGTGTAAATCTTTTTCCCCATGATGTATGTGGATTTCACATTATCGTGTCTTGCAAACTGTGATTTAAGCCTAATTTAGTAGGTAACTTTATGTTTGTTATCTGGTTGACTTCAGGATAACATCTCATGTAAACTCTTATGTGTAGCTGCTGTTAATCCTAATCCACTTGGAAAAAAAATGCTTCATCTACTGAATAGTAGGCAGCTTGGGTAAAGCAGTGGCAAGGCCAAAGGGAAAGAGCAGAGTGAGTTCTTCTTCACATTCTTACCTTGTTCTCCAATCTGTGCTGTTCTGTGGGCAGATGAGTTTGCCTGTGAGTGTTCTTGGAACAGGACAGAACGGGTTGAGTATAGTACTGTATCCCAAATTTGTGCTGTATGTTATTTTTTTCCCTGATAATTACCCTAAAATGCTAGTGCAGTTATTTCTGAGACTCCATTTAAGGTAAATGACTTATTTTAGTGAGCTCCTTTCGCTCATTGCTTTGGTGTCTCCTGCTTAAGGATCCACGGAAGAAGGGCTGTTTATTCCAAAACACATTTCTGCTCAGGAAGCTGAAACTGGAAGCCAGAGGCAATGCTGTCTTTCACTTTGTCGTGTTCTCTGGTCGATTCTCTCCTATGGTAGTACCAGTTTTCCTCGGAAACCTCTAAACCTAGTTTTGGTAAATGCTAGTATTAAGAGATTCTTTCTTCATGGCATAAACAGAAATACCGGTGTGAAGGAAGTCGTTTGTCAACCAAATAAGAGACTACTCAAAACCTGCTCATTTCTCAAATTCCTTTGCATTCTTTAGAAACATAAAATAATCATCACAAATTAAAAAGCTGATGGAGAATGGCATTTGTTCTGGCTTTCTTCCTGCCCTCCGTCGCTTCAACCCCTCTGGTTGTTCCCAGTGGAGATGGAGCCGACCAGAACACTTCAGTTCTGGGAGCTGTTTGTGTGCAATAGTTCTGCACTTGTCTGGAACTGCCCAGCGTGAGGACTGCTGTGTGTGCTGACCATCCATGGTAGGGTCTGCTGGGAATATTCCAAATTCAGCATTGCAGCAGTCTTAATTTTCAGTTCTCGAGTGTTTCCTTAAAAGGTAAATTGAAATAATTAGAAACAAACTCAAACCATTGAGCAGCTGAGCACATGTGCTGCTCCAGCAGAGCTGTTTCAGCTTCCGATCCGTCTATGCTTATCTGAGAACAGACTGAAAGTTTTGGCTTTGTTTTCTTGCAACTTTATTTCACAAAGTGCTGTTCCCAATGTAAATGTAAATGTCCCACTTTACTGATGGCTGAAACAGACCTTTGCTCTGTTCTGTGTTTTAGCCACATCCTCAACTTCTTCCATCTAAAACATGAAATGAATTCCTATGCATGAACTCTTTCACTTAAATTAAAAGTATATAATTAAAACTAAAGTATAAGGTAATGATTAAGAAGGATTTCAGTGAAGAGGCCAAGGAGATGATCAGGTGTATTTCTTCATAAAGTGTTTGTGAGATGTGCCAGCAATCCTCATCCTTGTCAAGAAGTAATGGTAATGGCCCATCTTTTGTGGGAAGGATGGCATCAACTCTGCATAGAGCCACCACAGTTTCAAGTGCCTCGTATGTTTATTTTGTGGAATTTCAGTCCATTATTTGAGTAGAGTTAGTGACTTACATAGGATTATATTACTGGCATGGATTAAGTCTTTTATTAGGTATTATTAGATCTTATTCCCCATTGCTAAAGGCAGTGCTGTTGTTTGTTGGTCAAACATGAGCATTGGAATAACATTGTGTTGTGTGAGTTTTAGCCTTCAGTGCAGTACAGATATTTTGGGTTTTTCTTGCAGCAATTCAGAGTCTGCAGAAACTGAGCAAGGTAACTCATGGTAATACAGTGGAATAATTTCAGCACTTTCCTTTGCTCTGCACTTAGGATTGGAACAGTGCTAAAAAAAAAAATAAAAACTGTGGTAACTATGTTGTTTTTCTTTATTTTGTGGTCAGAAACAAATATGCCATGGGACTGTTATTCTTGCAGCAAGATAAGGAATAATTTCGGTTTGGATTTAGTTTGGATATTGCGGGGAAGTTCTTTACCAAGACAGCGGTGAGGTGCTGGAACAGCTGCCCAGAGAGGCTGTGGATGCCCCGTCCATCCCTGGAGGTGTTCAAGGCCAGGTTGGATGGAGCTCTGGGCAGCCTGGTCTGGTATTAAATGGGGAGGTTGGTGGCCCTGCATGCAGCAGGGGGTTGGAGCTTCGTGATCCTTGCGGTCTCTTCCAACCCAAGCCGTTCTATGGTTCTGTGAATAACTGTTCAGTTAAGGTTAATGTAGTTCTGTCTGCTTTTTCCCTAACTGATGTTGCATAGCAAGTTCAGCTGCAATGGATGCTTGCTGTGACGTCCCATCCATGTGGCATCATCTCCATCTGCTTCCTTGGCTTGTGGGACTCCCTCTGCCTGCTGACCCCTCACACTGTAATGCTCCTGTTCTGTTGCCTTTACCACCTGCACAGTGGCAGCAGAGGAAGGAGTTACTTCCCAACAACAGGGCTGATTTCTGGTTCATCCCTGCACGTGGTTGGTACAACACACTGCTGTTGCAAAGCACAACGCAATGGAAACGCAGACAAAGGTGTCATTTTAAAAAAGGATGATCTGAATAGGGATGCACTGTTTGCTCCCTTAGGCCTTTCTTCTGTTGTAGGCTTGCTGCATCCATAGCGTTTTAGCTTAATATGCCTTTGTTCCAGCACACAAAAGAACAGTGCTGGCTTTGGAGCACCCTGAGCCTGTTTTACCAGCAGCTGTGCTTTATCTGCCCCAGAGGTGTGAAGCTTAGACAGCTGGGAAGGTTCTGTCTGCTCTGTTCCATTTGATACAGCCCGTGCTGTACCACTGGGAGCATCCCAGCTTTCAGTAGAGGAGTGGGCAGTGCATGATTTATGTGGAAAATTCTGAAATGTAATGAAAACCTTTTTTGGCTGGAGGTGAGGAATTCTACAGCTTTGGCCAGAGTGCATAAATCAGTTTAAGTGCAAATGTCAACTTTACACCACTGTGAGTTATACCTTGTATTTCCTCTGTGTCATGTCTCTAGGATACAAGCTTTAATAAATAACCCATTTCTTAATTCTTGCATACCTTCTTTGGGAGGTTTTGCTGAAGGCAAATAATAGAGAACTCCTGAAGGCTAATCTTCAGAGTTAGCCTGCTGTCTAATGCAGCAGCTCTGTTGAGATGTCATCCAGCCTTGTGATGAGTGAGCTAGCAGGAGTGCTGGGACGTCTTTGTTAAGTGACTGAACCTCATGATGTCTTACTCAACACCTCTGTTCTCTGTGTGCTTCCAGACTCCAATCTGTTGGCCTTTAATCACAAAGATAAGTCAGTGTGGTTTGTTACTGCTTCTGGTTGTGCTGCCTCTGCAGGTCAAAAGGAAGCTGGGGTCTGTGTGTGAGCAGAGCTGGGAGGCAGCCAGTGGTGGCACAAAGTGCCACGGGGCTCTGCAGCATCCCTGTCAGCAGATATGGAAATGGATCTTTGAAAATAAGATCTGTACATGTTTTCAGTTACTGCCATCACTATAGAAGAGCCAAATGGGGATGCACATACAGGTTGTTTCTGCAAGCTTCCGTTCCACTGCGATGGAGATGCAGTCAGCGCAGCGGCAGAGCCTGGAGCACAGTGAGCTCCTGGTGTGTGAAACTCATGGGGAGCAGCACAGCTCCCTTAGAACCTCATTGTATTGTACTGCTCTCTGCTGAGCTGTGAGCTTGGGTGCCTGCAGGCACATAGCTGGACATCCATGTCTTCCTCTGGAGCTGCGTCCTGCCCTTTGACCACTGCTTGCAGCATGGCACTTACAGGTGCTGTGGCATTCTTCAATTTCAATTTTTTTTGTCACCACATTTTTACTCTTGAGTCTGACAGTACTTCTTTCATTATCAGAAAGCAAACTCCGTGATTGATGGAGATGGAAGGATATTATGTGGGTTATGCAAAACAGATAAAGTTATGATGATGCCTGGCATGCTGCTTTAATGTCTGATTATGGAAAAATGAGACATGCAGCTGTGTGACTCTGGGTCAGTAACTCTGGGTCACTGCCAAAGTTCATGTCACAGAAACCTGATGTATCGTGCTCTGTGTGCTGCCTTGAGAAGAGTTTCCCTACGGTTCAGCTCTAAGACAGGCAGCTGCTGTGGCAGCTTGAGAAAAGTTCTTTCTGTAGAAGCATTTGTCAACTGAGAAATACTGAGTTCTTACATTGAATCATATCATAGAATCATAGAATGGCCTGGGTTGAAAAGGACAATGAAGATCAACACATTTCAACCTGCTGCTATGTGAGGGTCACCAACCACCAGACCAGGCTGCCCAGAGCCACATCCAGCCTGGCCTTGAATGCCTGCAGGCATGGGGCATCCACAGCCTCCTTGGCACAGGGCAGCCTGTTCCAGTGTGTCACCACCCTCTGAGTGAAAAGCTTCCTCCTAATATCTAACCTAAACCTCCCCTGTCTCAGTTTAAGACCGTAGGAGAGGTGCTCCAGCCCTCTGATCATCTTAGTGGCCCTCCTCTGGACTCTTACTGCAGCCAGTTTTTCATGAGTATTGTCCAGTATGATACTGGACAACACGGGAGCATTTGCATGTTAACATCCTGCTGTAGGTTTACCTAATGGCCTTAACAAAGAATCTGATCACCTCTACCTGTAAATCAGTACTGATTTATTTTATTTGTTAATATATTTTAAATCCAGCCATGGATTTTCTGCACTCAGAAAATCACCTTAATTTATTGTCTCCATCTTTTCATTTCTATAATAGATACAAGCAATGCATTGAGCTTCCTGCTGCTCTAATGAGTCTTGAGGATATTTTTTTAAACTGGATGTAGGGAAGGGGAACGTGGTCATCCCAATGAGAGAATTCTGCTTTCTTTCTTGTAATCCCTAAGAGCAGCCCTTGTGATGCATTTCAAAGGGCACTGAAAAATGTATTGATGTAAAATGAATGTTACACAATCATTTTGAAATCTGTGAGCGTGTAAAGTCACCAATTTAGTGATACATCTTGAAATGTGGGCAGTGAAATCCAGTTTGTGTTGCCAGTAGTGCAGAGCTTGGCTTACGCCTGAGATACACTTCTAACAGTCAATCTTTCTGATCCTTAATGTTGGAACTCTTAAGTAGTTTTTATTTATCCACTTAGTTTTCACCTTACATTTCCTAGTATTCTTTTTAATTGGTCCCTGTGGAACTGGTACTTGTCAAAGCCAAGCAGAGTGCTCAAGGTGATAGCGGCGTTCCACGTTGCTGGAAGGTTCCTTCCACCTACTGAATATTGTATAATGCATCTTCTTTTCTCATGAGGATAGGGAAAATCTTTTAATCTGTATGCAGTTTTTCTTATAATAAAAATGTAAATGGTAAATCTAGGATTTGACTGAATGCTTGATGGAACATTCGAAATAAGTAGAGCAGAAAAGAGTACTGCTAGATCAACAGTTTATTAGCAGTGTTAAGCTCTGTAGTGTATCTTCTGTCCTTATTCTGCTCACGTGCAAGTGTCACATGCTCTGAGAAGGCTGAGCTGGGAATTAAAGCTATGAATGTATTTGCAGCTAAATTATGTTTATCTTTCCCTATCAACTAAATTTAAAAAAAATGGCCCTGAAATGTAATATCTGTCAATTTCTGGTTCTCAGGAGCAAGAGCAAAAGGCTGAAGAAGAAAGGATTCGGATGGAGAACATCCTGAGTGGGAACCCACTGCTGAATCTCACCGGCCCAGCACAGCCCCAAGCAAACTTCAAAGTGAAGAGGAGGTACAGTGCAGTCTGTGCTGTGATATCCATCCCTGATTCTCTCTTGTTGCTCTGAGAGTCTGTTAAATGTCATCATTTCCTTGCTCGAGTCTTGCAACAATGTGATGTGAAATGAGAACACTGCATATAGTGGTTTGTCCTGCTCATTTCTCACACGTTGTTCACATTACTATGAAAAGTAGGAGGACCAGTTTTCCTCAATTTGATGTCATGCTTCCATTTAAAAATACTACTTTTATTTTTAGAGTGACCAGAATTAGTAGATAATGATCTTTTCCTAAAGAGGATTCTTGTTTACACGTTACATTACTTTTGTGTTTAGTAGAAATCGGGAGCATTGAAGGCTTTCTCTGCTCTGTTCAAGTGCCTGCTATTTTCTGCAAAGTTAAGGTAACCTCCAGTGCACTGATATTATTGCTTCTAACTCGAGACCATTTAGGAGGTGACTCGCTTCAGAAGAACAGATCTTTTCTTTTTGAAGCTTACAATTCTCTCCCAATGACGAATTGCTTGTAATGCATTGAAATAGGAAAGCCAAACTGTTCTTAAATGTTTTTTGTAAATAGCGTCACGTTGATTTACCAAAGTTAAAAACGTCTTTCTTTTCAGGTGGGATGATGATGTTGTCTTCAAGAATTGTGCCAAGGGGATAGATGAAACAAAGAAGGACAAGAGGTTTGTGAATGACACTCTGAGGTCAGAATTTCACAAAAAATTCATGGAGAAATACATCAAGTAGTACAGTTTTATGTGCTGTGGTGCTGACGGATTCGGCAGGTTGTTCCCCCACTCTCCCTCGGAATTCAAGGCTGAATATTTGGTCATAAATTCCTAAATGCTGTATCGAAATTGTCAACAGCTTCATAAATAATAACTGCTGTGTATGGAGTTTTATTCCTTCAGTATGCTTTCCTTTTTGTTTTAATTAAACCAGTTTGTGTTTCATGAGCGTTCTTCTGTTCACAAGAATTTACTTCTACTGTCCTTCTTGTAAATGGTGGCAAAAACTGTTTTGCGGTACATATTGCAGTTGTGTGAAGTGCTTTCCACAAGTGCCTGCATTTGTGGCAGTGGTGGTTTGTAATTGTGTGAGTGCTGCTCTTAACAGGGAATCGCCGAATGTGATGAGCAGTGTGAGCAAAGTGGCCTTGCTTTCTCTTAATACCTACTTACACACAGTTAATCTTCACTTTTAGTTTCTTTATATTAGCAACCAAATCATAGCTGTGTGGGATAGCTCTAAGTTCCCAACCCTGCAGCTTCTGGGCTGTCTTGGCTCAGTGCTTCTGGGGCAAAACAACATAGTGCTTGGGGCAGCACTGAGTGCAGAATTCTCCTGGGGGCCTCAAAGGCTTTTCCTCTTTGCTGAATGATTCCAGTCCTTCAGGCACAGCCCAAGCTCAGTTGTGTGTGTGTGGTTCAGTCGTGATGGCGTTGTTGGAACCTTGAGTGGGTGATCTCATCGAGATGTCATAGTACAGTGAAATATTGAAGTGGACATTTTAAAGATGACAACATAACTCAAGATTGATGGAAACACCTCAGTTGTGAAGGGATTTCTTTCTTTTCCTCTCAAGTCACTCTGGTTGTGTTTCGAATCTTGGCCAAGTGACGCGCTGGATACAAAAACAGCCTTTACAAAAGGTGGTGTAACACTCAGTGTAGTTCATTCTTACCATCTTTTATAGTAATAGCATTCTTTGCAAGCTTTTAGTTTGAAAATACACCTGATTTTACTTTTAAGTGAGTAAAGGCTAAGAATAAATATATACTTGTATCCTGCGAGAGTTTTTGCTCATTACAGCTGTATTTCCAGCCCCATGAAGCAATGCACAGCATACTCTTGCCAACAGCTTATACCCATGTTTACTTGGAAGAAAGATTTTCAACATGCTTAGGGTCATGTGAGCTCCTGCAGCTACTGGAGGAATATGTGCTTGTGTTACACGTGCTACCTGCCTCGTGACAGCACCGCTTCTCGAGTCAGAAAACACATTCATAATACTTCATAATTCTCTCTTTCCACTACAGCCACTAAAACCTCGGTATACAGGCAGTGTGATTAGAGGGAGGGGGGGAAGAAAGTTGAGAGCTGCACTTGTCCAAGTCTGGCATTGGGGGAGCAGCTGCTGCTCTAGGTCTGACCTAACAGCACTGCTGTCATGGCAACTACAAAAAATAATTGCTGCAGCTGTATTACGAGATGTAATCCTTGTGCCAAAGTCAGCGAGTAAACATACAGCTTCACTGGAGGGGTGCATAGCTGAAACACCACAGGTCAATGCATTCATAGAAACTGTAAGTGCATAAGCTGTCATTTCTATTCCTGAGATGCTGCATCTCTTTTTGTAGAGAAATCAGTACTTCTGGGAAGTGGGCTGGGCCCTGCTGGCTGAGCTCCTGCTCTGTACACAGCTGTTCCTGCAGGTGGAGGAGCACCCGTCCCTTTCTTCTGCAAAACACAGAGGTGTGCTTGGCCGTGTTTTCCTGTAGCTCTCTCCCTCCTTTGCTCTGGAGAAAGAGCCCCACAGATCCTGCACCTCTGTGAGCTTTTGTGTTTGTACTGCTGTTCAGCAGCACCACTGAATTTGCAGATCTTGTCTCTCACCTCCTCTCCCAGAGCTTTTGCACACAAGTAGGCAGCTAAGGAGTTCCAAGCCTTAACCCTCCCAGGGTTCTGCATGGTTGACCACTGAGTTTTCTTTATCAGTTGGGAAGTTGTAAAGCACTGGGTAGAGCACCGTGCTTTCCAGATTTGTGCTGTTACTGATGCTTCATTTTCTATTGTGCTTCTAATGCTCATCTGAGAGAAGTCAAACAGTTTGTTGACAAGCAACTGTGAGATCTTTAAAAATAAAAACAAATCAGTTCTTGAGGTTCTACAGCTCTGCTCCTAGCATGGATTTTTCCAGGAACTTCTGTTTGGTGTGGCAGATAACTTCCAACAAAGGAAGTTTGTTGTTACAGCAACAGACGTGGGAGACAGTGAATGTTGTGCACTTGAAGGAGTAATGTTTCTACACTTCTAAACGTCAGGACTGCTTAATCATGCATGTTTGCAAGCACCACCTCAATGTACTGTAACTGGTGGCTCAGAACAAAGCTATGTGCTTTATCAGCTGTTCCCCTCTTGCTTATTCTTATCTCCAGCAGTACAGTTATCTTCACAGAACTGAACTATAAACTGTAAATGTAGAACTGGAACTGAAAAAGAGAAGCCTTTTTCTGCAGAGACACAACAGGAAGTATGTGGTATTTTGTTGTTATTTTTTTGATTCATTTTGTTTCCTAAAGCATTGTGTTTGAAACTTTGTCTTGAAATATGTGAAGGGGTTGTTAGCACCAGGGGTAAAATGTAATGATAGTCCTGCAGTGGGGTCAGCTGTGCTGTGTCCAGACAGAATTTTAAAATGTTCAGCATCTATTTTTATTCCTTGAGCAGATGAATGAATATTAAAGGCTCTGTACTGCGCTCAGCCACGTTGTGATGTGCATTTGTCACAACATCACCTCATCAGTGGCACCGCTGAAGCAGAAGCATCCAACACTGACACCCCAAGTGTTCCTATCTGTGGCCGTGCTGCTGGACCTGAAGGTCAGAGCTGTGCCAGAGGGGCTGCTGGCATTTTCTTTCTTTCTCAGCATTAAGTGCTCTGCACTGCAGACTCTGAGCATGGTGAGAAAATGCCCACAGAAATGTTCTTTGTGAGGTTCTCCGTGCCACCACTGCGACCTTCAGAACGAGATTGAGCTAGCTGCTGCTCAAATACAAGCCTTCCTGATGAGTTTTGTCTTGCTCACTTGGGAAAAAAATTGACATGCTTTTCCTTAAGAGATAAAGCCTATCCTTTGTTGTAGGTCAGCTGCTTTTTCTCTAGGCAAACTGACGTTTGTAAACTGGTCTTTCTTCAACCACTATGGCCTCACTGCTGTTCTTACCATCACCCAAGGTTTGATATTAATGTAAAGAGGCACTTCTTGAAATGTTACACTTCCACGGGAAAGGCATCTCAGAGCTCTTCTTTTGAACTGGGGATAAGCAGAAAGGAAAACGTTTCCTTAGGTATCCCAAGTCACTTAGTTAAAAAAAAAAAGCAACAACAAAAAGAAACACTGAATTCTGATGTCCATTGGTCAAATGTTTCTGTTATGTTGAGATACTTGAGGGCAGCTTAACAAGCAAGAGGGAGAACGACTTCTAAATGGTCCTTTCCTATGAGGAAAGGTTGAGGGAACTGGGCTTGTTTAGCTTGGAGAAGAGAAGGCTGCGGGGAGACCTCAGTGTGGCCTTGCAATATTTGAAGGGAGCGTGTAAACAGGAGGGGGAACGGCTGTTTGTGAGGGTGAACAGTGATAGGACAAAGGGGAATGGTTGTAAACTGTGACAGGGGAGGTTTAGGTTAGATATTAGGAGGAAGTGCTTCACACAGAGGGTGGTGACACACTGGAACAGGCTGCCCAAGGAGGCTGTGGATGCCCCATGCCTGCAGGCATTCAAGGCCAGGCTGGCTGTGGCTCTGGGCAGCCTGGTCTGGTGGTTGGTGACCCTGCACATAGCAGGGGGTTGAAACGTGATGATCATCGTGGGCCTTCTCAACCCAGGCCATTCTGTGATTCTATGATATGATCCTATGATAGTGATAGGACGAGGAATCATTTTAAACTAAAAGAGGGGAGAATTAGGTGAGGTGTTAGGGAGAAATTCTCTACTCAGAGGGCAGTGAGGCCCTGGCACAGGCTGCTCAGACTGGGGTTTGGTGATTTAAAGTAAAACTGCCTGCAATTCTAGTATGTCTAATGCAACTCTTCACTGGAAGGGAAACTGAGCTAAATCTAAATGGATTAAATTTCGTAACCCAAATCTCACTTTGCATCAAACCCTCCAAAATGGAGGGAAGCTGGCAGTGTGCAGAAGGTGGAGAAAAGAAGCAGAAGAACACAGGGACATCTGATTGCCCTCTGTTGGAATCTGTAGCAATCAATAGTTTGAATAGGAAAAGATGATTTCTAAATTGTGCTGTCATACAACTTTATAGCTGACATCAGACATCTGTTAGAATAGATTTTATGCAAACAGAGACTGTGAAGTAGGCTGTATTCTGAGGAGCTTCAGAAGTCAGGGTGGAGGGCAGGGTGGGGATGCTGCTCAGTGGCACCAAAATTGTGTCTAGGGGCTGAGTGTGAGCTCTGCCTCCTTCAGAGTGTGGCTGCTTCTGTCCCTGCAAGGCTTCTCCTCCTCCCAACTCTTCTCTTAGAAATCCTCTTGCTAGGAGGCTGCATTCTTTGTTCCTTTTGCCCCAAGTTATTCCCAGGGGATGGGATTTCAAGCAGTGACAAAGGTTTATTTTTACTGTATTGGAAGAACAAACAGTAGGTTAGAGCTGGAGGAGGATGGATTGACTTGCCAGCCTCCTTACTGTGTATGGGGTTCATCCATGTCCCCTGGAGTGTCCACTTGGACTTAGGGACAGTTGGGATTGGTGAAGCATTTGGGTGCTGCAACAGCTCTTCAAGAGGCTGTTAAGTAGACTTTCCCCAGCAAAACCTTCTGCTAGCAATGTCCATCACGTGTTTAACCACAGGCTTGCTTTGGGCTGCACAGTGCAGGTGGTTAACACTGGGATTTGTTCTGCAGGATGGTAGTGCATTAGAACATCTTTTTGGTCTGACTTCCAGGGCGGGGTTTGTGTCAGATAAAAGCACATGTAAGCTGATGGTGATGACAACAGATCAGTTCTCTGAGAGCTTTAGCAAGTATTTCATGTTGAAAACGTAGCTCTTTTATGTACAGATCCTTTATGTTTGCCTTTCAAATGTAGGCTTTTTAAAAACATCTATTTTCAACGCAGGCAGTGGGAGAGAGTTTTAGGGAATCAAGGACCAATAACTAAATAAACAAAGCAGATTAAAGTCCTTCTTTATGTAATACCCTTTCTGCCATTTGC